CCAACTCCCTTCGTCCCTCTCTATGGGGGCCTCAATCCCTGCTGGAGGGATTATCTGCAGGAATTACCTGCAGGAGCTGTTCTCCAGGCTGCCTGGCAGCCATATTCATATACATTGGTGTGGGCAATTATTTCGGCTGGAGGGCTTCTCAATGAATTTTGGTGAGCTGTTGAGGGCCACATGGGTAACCCTGCCCCTTGACAGGTCCCCTGCCCCCTGGTTACCATCTTGGGACCAGAAGTCTCAGCCCCTAACCTCTGACCTTTGCCACCAGAAGTCCCTCCCCTTGCCCACAAGCTGAAGAGTTGCGTATTGGAAATCAGATCGGTATTGGCCACTATGCCTCCTTAAAAATCGGTTATTGGTATCGACCCCAAAAATGTCTCTATTGGTGCACCCCTACTTAGAAGGCACTCAGCTACTTCTCTGGCCTGCCTTAGACACATTTCAAAATTAAAAATCTGTAGAGTGGCCTCTTGGAGCTCTATAAATAGTTTCTTAAAAAGTTATTTCTTAGATCTAGCATTTAGATCACATGCAGTAATATAGCCTGTATTTAACTTAGCTGCCTCATCCCACTCTCTGGAAGGACAAGTATTGTTTGCCAAATTCCCACAGTAGGAATGTGCAGAAGGTCACTTGTCTACAACCACAGTTCTTTGAAATTACCTTTGCGTATGTAAATTCCCACCTACATTTCCTACTTTCTTGGTACCCTGACTTCAACTTTGGACTGACTAGGGAGTGGAAGGAAATAAGGTAGTAAATGCTGCATGTCCTCTGACCTCTGAATGTTTAGATCCAGGAAGGGAGGGAACAAGGACATTCCAATGAGTATTACTACCAGGTTTCATCAGTCCACGCTATAACCAACTGTATGAATGTTCAGAAGTCGAAAAGAACCATGGTTATAGTTGAGAACCTTTATTTTGTTGCATGTCTCCCCTGCCTTATTATCTGGAAATTAAAGTGCGGGAATATGGTTTGGGTTTTATTACAAATTTAGAAATTGAGTAAATGTAGGCACAAGTTCCTTTTGCATATTATTGGTAATGTAAACATAGCTTCATTTCCCTGCAATGATATTTGTATAGGCCCTATTTATTTTTTGGCTAGAATTACACTTAAACTTAGGATACATTTTTGGAGTAAGTTATTAGATATGAGGGACTGGCATTGCTGTATGGTTGTATAGCATGTAATATAGTCATGATCCAAGCTTACCTCAGTTTCCTAGGAACTACTGCAATACAAACAACTATACTTCTGAGTAGAAAACAAAACTAAAATAGCTTTTCATTCAGTTCGTAGGTTAGAAAGTTAAAGTTCCAAAAGTTAAAAAGTGGTATCAGTCTAAGTTATTGTGAAAGCACGGTATTTTCTGGATTTACTTCATATGCACTTACATTAGTCACTGTTCTTTATGAGCTCCATAATTTATTTTTATGTATAAAAATAATAATTTAAATTTTAATAATTTCAATTATAATACTTTAAATAATTATCATATGAATATAAATATTATAATAAATATACTTATAAATTAATTTTAATTATAATTTAAATTTTTATGTACAAAAATAATTATGAAAGGGGTCACATAGCAACAACTTGCATAAGTACAGTAACACACACAAAACCATTTTCTCAGGTGATCTTTTCCTTTCCTGCTACCACAGCTAATTGATTTCAAAGCTTGCAAGTTTTCCCTAGGAGCAGATAACTCAGATTTCTCAAGGATGTATGGTTCTCTTTCTCTCTCTCTTTCACATTTCAGTGATAATTCTCATTTTACTTTTCAACAAGTTAGCCAGATCCAGTTCTTATGTCGTAGTACTGTACCATCTTTTCATACATTGTTCCCTTGGCAAGTCCCATGTCATGGAGCAGAGAATGCAGGACAGCTGAGTATTCCAGGCGCGAAGCATCTGTTCCTGAGAATAAAACTACTGAATGTGACTGGCAAAGACTGCTTGGGGCAGCATATGTTAGTGGATAATATATGACCTTTTTATCCTCAGCAACTTGAAAGACTACACTAATTTAAAAAAAAATGTATATGAAATAATAGCCAACAGAATTTTTAGGTCTACAACACTGCCTTTTATTCACATCATAGTAAATGCTAAAAGTAGCATGACCATTGTAGAAATATACCTATTGATTCATAGTGTACTGAACACTGTATTATATATAAGGTTTGATAGCACAGCCTACTATTTGAGGCTACCCAAAATCCTCTTTTTATTAGAACCTGTTTCTGCTACTTATAGCTTTGCCAAACTATAACTATTTATGTTAAAAAAATTTCCATGTGAGGTATCCATCTCTGGTTGGATTTTTTTTTATATTTTGGCAAAAATGATTTTACAATTTCAGCAAATAAAACTAGTGAAAAATACACTGTTGTGCCCACTTTAATGAATTCTGGCCCCAGCTGTCTTTCCTGCTTGGTGCAGGGGGCTGGACCTGATAATCTTCTGAGGTCCCCCCCAGCCTTACAATCTATGAATCTGGCAGCCCTTTCTTAGAAGAATTTTAGTAGCTACATATTTTAGAGCTTGGACTTGAAATTTGGCAGGGAAGCGTACTTTTGTGAAGGTTGTTCTTCCTTCTTTCCCCTAAAATCTGTCAAACTTTGGCCAAGATAATAACTTTTGAAAAATTACAGCATACACATATTCAGTATACAATTTAGTTTTTAGCAGCTACATTTTCCATGTTCTATCCACAGTGAACATGACTCAGCTTAGGGCCAAGCAGGATTTTTTCCCTGCATTCTCTGAATTTCAGCTCTGGGCCATTGCAGATTATTCCATGTCAAGCAACTAAATTCAGAGCAAAGTAATTTATCTGTTCTGTGCTGGGCCCAGATAGCATTGAGGAGGATGCAACTTGATTCAGATAGAAGCAACAAGAGCCAAATGAAGGCTAAAGTAGAAGAGAGAGGCTGGTTGAGGACAAAAGGTGGGACTGAGACTGGCCAGGCAAGGAGCTGTGATGATATGGGTTGGTGTTGGAAGTGGCTGGACAAAGCAATTGGGAGGGTTAATCTGAAGGAGTGAAACTATGAAGGGGAAGGAGAGGCCATAAGACTGGTGAGACTACAACTTGCTGGGCAAGGAGACTGGAACTGGGATGCAAAGCACAAGGAGTACACACTGGGAATGGTTAAATGAGATGAATGAGACTGGGATCAAAGAGCCAGTGATGGGAAAGAAATAGGTTTGAGACGGGGCGGGTTGGTTAGAAGTGGCCAGGCTTGGTTGGGGAATAGGCAGAAGAGTCTACACCTACTGAGAGATGCTTTCTTCTAGAGCCTGGAATGAACTCAAAGAGTCTTAGCTCTTACTATTTCTCTGCAGTCAACAAATCCCTGTAAAACCTACTTGTTATGAATCTTTCATCCTCTCTAGCCTCTAGAGCAGAGGTGGGCAAAACACAACCTGCAGGCCAGATCCAGCCTGCCAACTGACTGGATCTGGCCCACAGCTGCCCCCACAGTACCCCATCTGGGTTGTGGGTTACAAATTTGTAGTATTTTGTCTTAATTTTCAGTATAAATCATGTAATCAAATTTTATATAGGAAGATGTCTTTCTGTGGCAGAGGAGTAAATCTTAAATGTATTTGATAATTTTCAATCTTTATTTCCTACAATTTAATTTGTAACTTAACTTTTTTTAAAATTTAACTTCAAAATATTTTATCCCAAAAGGCGGCTTGTCAAGTTAACATTGCTTCGTCTTATAAGTAATTATTCACAGAAATTAAGGAACTGGGATTGCATCTGTGTACGTAGCTGTGCATTTGAAATTCTTACTGGAAAATTAACTTTGTTAAGGAGTATAATAGGTAGTATTCACCTCATCATGCTTCAGTTTATGCATCAGTTTTCTTGTGCATCAGCAAAGTCCTTCTATAAAATCACTGTTCACAACAAGTGGATGGATGTTTTTAAAAACATATTCTTTAAAAACTAGAGCTAACTTAGATACTTTGCACTTTTTGCATTTATATATAGATCCTCATTAAATTATATTTGTTTTCTTAGGAAACATGGATTTTAGCTTAATGTAATGGCCTGTGCCTTTATGAAGAAGATACAAGCAGAAAAATACAGGAGTTGTGTGTGAAACATTTGATTTTGTAGTTATTTAAATACAAGTTTGTGAATTTATTTTTTTTGGTTAAAGAAAATGTATCCTAGTAGGGAAGGCTAATGTTCATGATCTAAAATCAAAAGATAACTGGCAGAGTATCATAGCTATTCATTTTCACTCTCTCTGCTTCTGAATTCTTAATTTTTTCCTACTAGGAATCCCACAGCGTAGAATTATACATATGTTGCTGCTCTCATCTGCATTCACTGTTTCCCCTGAAGCATTGGTCAGAATGCTCATACTGGAATATGTGTCGTGTGAAAGAGCAGGGATAAGTGTGATTCTGGAATAGAAGGAATAGGTCTTAATGGAACAGATTTACAAAAGGGAGACACAGAAAACAAAACATAATGCAGTGTGTGGCGCACATACAGTATTAACTGGGATGATAGATGAGTGTCTGCCAGGACTACCTGGTGCTGAAAGGATCTGGAAATAATTCAATAATCATGCACCTGGTCCCTGGTGAAACCATCTGGAAAGTGCATCAGGTAGGCTAGAGAAGCATCACAACAGATGTAAAGTGTGCTCTGAAATATTATCTATGTTGCACCAGCACATTTCAGAAATGTTTACGTTCTTTTTGAAGCATTCAGTGAAGTTTTCTTCTGTTCTACTCATATTAACCTTTGGGTAAACCTTAGCTCTGCAGAATTATGTATTAAAGAATGGATGTTTATATGCTAAGAACAAAATCATGTGGAATGTTAGTTTTTGGAAGACCCTAAATCAGCCTTTGTATGCTAAACCTTAAACTGAAGCTTATAAAGCCATTTATATCTACGCTGGGCTTTTATATGAAAACTTTGAGAATGATTTTCTTTTTTTTTCTTTTAAGCGGCCCAGAGTGAGGAGCGGTTATGTGCATTTAAGGACCCATATCAACAGGACCATGGGATCAGTGAGAGTCGGATCTCTCAGGAAAATGGCACTATTTTGTGTGTGAAAGGCAGCACTTGCTATGGACTTTGGGAAAAAACACGAGAAGGAGACATACATCTTGTAAAGCAAGGTGAGAAACATTTCACTAAGGTGCAGTGGTTTCCATAATCTTTCACTTTTTAGCTAGTAGTAATCTGTTGCTTAGGAAATGTTAAACTCTGTAGCTAGGCCCTTTGCATGTACCATAAAATTATGTTAATCTCGTTTTACCATTTGAAATTTACTATAAAACTATTTAAGTAAGAAGAAAGTTTCTTTTGAAAAAGGGTTTGATAAAGAATAAACTTCTTATTTAAGATGAACTTTTATATAACTAGCCAAGTTGGACTATTCAGGAAACTGCAAAAGAATATAACATGTCAAATCCCACTATCCTGCACTCATCTCTACCTCCAAACCTCAAATTCATTCCCATGCATTTCATTATTCAAAGCATGTCTCAAATGTTCCAGTATGGAGGCAGGTAAAGTGTCTTTTTTAGCAAATATAAAAAATCTACTAGATTTCCAAGTTTAAGTTTCTTTTTGCCTTCTCCTGACTTATTAGGACAACTTTTCCATTATTAAAACTTCACATACTTTTTAAAACCAGTCAGTGATTGTAGGGGTGTCGCTTTTCTCTTGCAGGCTGTGCAAGTGTAATTGTGGTAGCCACTAGAGCAGGGGTGGGCAAAATATGACACATGGGTTGGATTCGGCCCACAAGGCCATTATATCTGGCCCTCCAGAGCCCTCCAAAAAAACAATTATTACTGGCCTGCAGCTGCCCCTTTGAAAGCCAGCAGGAGGCATGTGCTTTCAGAGGTTGCACGTCATCAGACCAAGCAGGCTCTGTGCCTCCACCTCTATGGGACTCCGAGCAATCCAAGTAGGAGCCCCATGTAGAGGCACGGAGCGCAATGGTACGTGATTGGACAGCTGGTGAGTGGGGAGGGAAGCTTCTGCCTGCAGTGCCAAGAGTCGCACATGGTGGCATGGAGCCCACCCAGCCTGATGGTGTGTGGGTGTGGGGTGTGTGTGGATGTGAGGTTTGTTGGGGGTATAGGGGTGTGTGTGCGGTTTGTGGGGGGGGGGTGGGCCCTTCTCACCCCCGCTCCCTGTGGCTTAGGGCCCACAGCAGGCAGAGCCCCCTGGCAGCACATGGCTCTGGCTGAGTCCTAAAAGCTGCGCACGACAGCATGGAGCTGGCTCAGTCCGGCCTGCTGGCATGTGCCTTTGGACCAGACCAGGCTGGCACCATGCCAGCACATCGGGTTCCTGGCACTGCAAGTGGGAACTGTGCACCTTTGGGCTGGGTCGGCTCTGGGCCTCCATGTGGGCCTTCCAGCACTCCAGCAGGAAGCTGCACGTGGAGCCAACCCAGCCTGGCCCTGCAGCGTGTGCTCCTAGCTACAGTGGCAGAAGCCTCACATGGTGGCACAGAGTCCACCTGGAGCCATGGGGAGTCCCATGCCACTGGGCCAGGCAGGTTCCATGCTGGTAGCATGCAGCTTCCTGCTGGAGTGCTGGAAGCCCCACGTGGAAGCATGGAGCCAGCCTGTTCAGGCCTGATGGCACGCAGCTCCCACCTGCTTTGCCAGGAGCCCCATGTTCTGGCATGGAGCCGGCCTGGTCTGGGTTGAAGGCAAGCACCAGTGGACCAGGCTGTCTCCATGCTGTGACATGCAGCCTCTGGGACCCAACTAGAGCTGCGTGGTACTGGAAGGCTCTGCCTGTCATGGGCCCCAATCATCCTGAGGGCCTGCCACCAGCAGCAGGGGCTGTGTGGTAGGGGGGCCACACCCACCCATAAGCCATACACCCTTACCCACCCAAAACCCCCCCACAGATCCCATGAATCCCACACATACCCACCCCACACAATATATAAGAGTAAATCTTTATTTTGCACTATCATGCAATCACCTCTATATACACTATGGAAATGCATGTAAATCAGGACAAAAATATATTTTTGAAATAAAATCAAAATATGTTGTAGTTAGGGGTGCACCGATAGAGATTTTGGGGGCCGATGCTGATAGCTGATATTTAAGAAGGCATATCGGCTGATACCGATCCGATATCCAATACAGCGGCCATCAGCTGGTAAGTTGGGTGTAGTGGAAGGGAAGGTGTGCGGGGGGGCAGATGAACAATGCCTGCGGTAAGGGAGCGGGCAGGGGCAGGCACTGCCCAGACGGGATGGAGAGCGGGTCACAGATGTGACTTGTGGGGTGGGGGCAGCTCCTGCCACTGCTTGCACCCCAGCAGGGCAGAGGGGGCATTTGCCCCAAGATCTGCATGGTGTGGGGCAGGTGGCAGCTGTGGGGTGGAGCCGGAGCTGGCACAGCATGGGGCTCATCTCGCTGGAGGCTGGGCTCAGAGCAGGCTCCGGAAGTGCTGGGAGGAGGCTGCAGCCACCCCAAATTTTGCTGCAGCTCCACTCCCAGCCCTGCATCGCTGCCTGGCACAACCATGGTTTTTCCAGCGTGTGGGTGGAGGTGGGGCATTCAGCTGGGGCTGATGGCAACCCCCTGCCTCCCAAAAGGAATGCTTCCAGTGGCAAGGGTTAGGGGGTGGGACTTCTGGTCCCAAGATGGCGATTTAGGGGGCAAGGCACCTGTCAAGGGGCAGAGCTACCCTTGTGACCCTTGACAGCTCACCAGAACTCATTAAGTGGCTCTCTAGCTCTGAAATAATTGCCCACCCCTGCACTAGAAGATGAATCATTGATTCCTTAAGTCACTTAGGTTGCAGAGTTCTGAGGAAAGTTCAGTAGGAATACTAAGGGGTTATCTGATATCCAGGATCCTGTTGTTTCCCTCACCATGTTTCCATCCTTCTTGCAGAACAGTTTAATTCTGGGACATGTCCACCACACATGGTAGAATCCTCCCAAATGACCACACTCCCTCCAATGTTTGCCTGTTTCTATACCATAAATGCATTTAATTTTGAGTTGGGTGAAATACCATCAATATCAGATTTTAAAATAATGTTCTTGTATTATTGTGCAGCTGGATATGAGGACCATTGTTCCAGATGGTCTCCCAATCTTCAGCACCAATTTTTGATCCAGTGTCAATAGCCGACTTTTTGGCATGAACAATTTTTTCCCTTTTATATGGATATTTACAATTTATTTATACAGCACAGATAATAGGCCTTTGTGTTTTATAGCTGTGACCAATATTTTCTCAAATTCAGTCACATTTCTAATGAGTTTTACCTTTCTTTAGGAGTGTGTGGGAGTGTCTCAATTGCAGGTATTGGAAAAAATAGAATTGCAATGTCATCTGTGGTATGCTGTATTTCTTCAAAAGATCTAAATATATTTTCTTTAAAATGGGCCCAAAATGTATGCTACCAGTAACAACAACAACAACAGTGTTTTAATGTATTTTTCAAAATTCCAGTTCTGATTCATTTATCAGTGGAGACTGAAAGGCACAAGATTACCACACTGTGTGGTAATTGAGTAAATTATTTAAATACCCCTGGGAACTAGGTGAAAGCACCAGAAATGTTTTTCTTGTAGCCTAACTCGAGATGGAATCCTAATATTGAGAGTAGAAAGGTTGAATATTAATATACTGCATTCCTTACATACTCTCTTTTTGTTCAGTACTTAAACTTGTCTGAGTGGTATTTTGTTCAATCCTTTCTGGATGTAGAAAACATTCTTTTTTCATCAAAAGCTTGAAGTCTATATTTAGAGGAAATTGTTGGGGCTTGATTATTTTTGTTGGCATCAGTGTTTCAGATTACAAGCATTTGTACTAGCTGGGATGCTGTATTCAGGGGTTCTTGAATTACTGTGCCCCTTTGGATTTCCCACCATAGGAGACTATCTTTAAATTGTGGCCAGGGTATTTCCTGGTTAGCACTGAGTTACTGTAGTCCTTCAGGTAATGATGGTGCTTATGGGCATCTTATGCTTTGACTTCCTGGTCCAAGGGGTTCTGTATTTTTGGTTATTTCAGTAACATAACAGCTGGATCAAACTTTTTTTTCATTTAAAGACACTGTGTTTCCCACTCAGTTGTTGTTATTGTTATACTTCAAGCAATTCTGTGGCGCATTTTTTTAAGAATTGGGGTAGAAGTAGGGTGAGAGAGAATGAAAGAAATAGCGAAATTAGGAAGACTAACAGCATAGGAAGATGAATTA